AATTCCCTTGAGGACATTCTTTTGCCTGCACGGTCTGGGAGTTTCGGAGTGATACACTAATAAAGGCTTAACTTTGCATTCCCAGTAGCATTGGAACACATCAACAGTAAGCCTGTCTTTCATAGGCTTATGTTCCTGGGAGTGCTTTTCCTCCTGAGTAATGTAGGATGTCACGGCTTGCATTTTCTTCCAAAAACAGGCCTGTTCACACAATTAAACACTTTTCAGGTTTCAGTTCCTTCAGCCTCTATGTACTCCTTGAATTCATGCACATATTTTACGCGCTTTGTGGTCCGAACTGCAAGCCTCACCATGCCTTTATCACACTATGTATGCCACTACGCTTCTTAAATCTCTCAAACCAACCTTTGCTGGCCTTAATTCACTCACATCATCACTAGTTGCAGGCATTTTTTTAATTAAATCCTCATGCAACTTCATAGCTTTCGCTATGATCGCTTGAGAGACGCTTTCTCCTGCTAGCGTTTTTCATTTATCCACACCAATAAGAGTCTCTCAACATCTTCCATCATTGCGTCTTTGTTTCGAAAACAAGTTAAAAACTTGGCAAGAACAGCTTCCTTGATTGCCTTTCTGGTGCCCACAATAGTAGCGATGGTTGATTGGGGTTTCTTGTACAACCTGGCAGGTCGGGCGATACGCACTCCACTTTCATACTTATCAGTGATCTCTTTCTTCATCTCTATTGAATTCTCACCCTTATTGCTGTAGGGTTGGCACTAGAAGCTTTTTCTTGCGGGCCCATGGTCACTTATTTTCCAGAATAAAGCACCGAAAACAATGTAATACTACGAAATGGTTCGATTGTATGCTTGGATGTTACCGCGGATGGCTGGCTGGTAACAATGGCACGGGGCGGCACATGTGAGGCTGGACTGATGGGCGACATTGGACGCGTCTCGGAATGATGAACAGTGGTGAGCGGGTTTTTAAGCAGTCTATGCGAGGCAAAATTTTTGCGATTTAAAGCTTGCGGTGTATGCGGATTAATCGTTATGATGCCAACGATATGCGGGGGTCACTGTACATATTTATATATATATCTATATATCATGTAATATAATATATAAGTCTATATATATATTTATATATATATATATATATATATATATATTATATATTATACAGGAAGGCCCGCTTTACGGCGTTCACTTTACGGGTTCTGCTATGAGGGACATTCAAATTATGACCAAAACTTGCTTTACGGCCCCCCACCTGGATTTCTATTCAGGTCAACGTGCCCCACCCTGTTTGTTTACATTCTCATGAGGCTCAGTAAGCACTAAGTCTCTCCATTTTGTCTGAAAACTCCAAATTTCAAAGTTTTTAAAAGTTATTTCATATTTTATATATACTCTGATAATTATAAGTTATGTATACCTGTACCTAAATAAACTTACATACTGTGCTGGCATGCAGGTCACATTAAAATTGGTAAGTGTCTTATGTCTCCAGACGTCATATTAGTAATGATAATAATAATCATCGAGTCATTTAAATGTCGTATATTACGTTAATATACACATTTTCATTAATCCATCCATGATATTTTTTTCAAAATTATATAATAAACACGATGCATAACATATAAATAAGATAAATACACCCCACAGTAGAATAAATAAAACATAAATGTGAGATGTGGTAGCAGACGACTTGCACAAGTGACGCCATATTAGAAATGTTAATAATAATAATAACAATATCACGAGTCTCATTAAATGTCGTATATTACGGTAATATACACAATTCATTAATCCATCCATGATATTTTTTTCAAAATTATATAATAAACACGATGCATAACATATAAATAAGATAAATCACCACCAGTAGAATAAATAAACATAAATGTGAGATGTGGTAGCAGACGACTTGCACAAGTGACGCCATATTAGAAATAATAATAATAACAATACTCACCGAGTCTCATTAAATGTCGTATATTACGTTAATATACACATTTTCATTAATCCATCCATGATATTTTTTTCAAAATTATATAAAAAACACGATTACATAACATAAAAAGATGATAAATACACCCACACATAGAATAAATAAACATAATATAGATGTGGGAGCCACATAACTTGTACAAGTGACGGCAAGAATAACATTTTCTCTAATCTAACATAAGAGAAAATGTGTTACTGGGGGTAACTGTAGAAAAATTATTCCTTTCGTATGTATGTAAGTAAGTTTATTCAGGTATACACAAATACAGTTACATAGATTATCATACATAACAACATACGTGTAGAGAAACCTATGATAACCCAAAAAAGTCAGTGTGACTTATTTCCATTGCCTTCACTCAGAGCTTCATTTCTTCTCAAAAATGATGTTACATGAGAATGGGAGTGTTCTTCTTTATTAATTCTACCGTATCAATGTAGAGACAACCTGTACACAATGTAACTTGTACACAAACCAGACGTGTACACTTTGTTTGTTTACAAAACTTACGTTCGCCTGGTTTGTTTACATAACTCTGCACCTGTCCCCTTCATGTACTCATTCTTTCTCTCTCTCATTTATTCGTTTTATCTCATTTACTTACTCCTGACCCTACATTAAGACTACAAATATTTTAAGGTAAGTAATGAGTGAACTGTATATACATTTTATCGCTCTGGGATGCTTAAATATCATAGAATAGTATGTGTGGGTGGGGTGGCCTGGTATGGTAGCCTGGCTGACACCATACATACCACACTTGATTTCTTACAATAAATACTACTTGTCTCACCCTAGATTAAGACTATAAATATTTTAAGGTAAGTAATGAGTGCACTATGTGTGTATTATACTTTTTTATTGTTTTTTGATGCCTGGTTCTATTGCTAACTTAATATATGTTAGTGTAAACTTGTTATCTAGTGTTTGTATGCATTTATAAGTGGAAAGAAAGGGTGTTCCACTTTACGGCGGTAGCCTGGAACCTAACCTGCCGTATAAGTGGGGCCCTCCTGTATATATATATATTATATTATATATATATATATATATATATATATATATATATTATATATATATATATATATATATATATATATATATATATTATATATATATATATATACACACAGTGGACCCCCGGTTATCGGCTGTAATCCATTCCAGAAGGTCGGCCGATAACAGAAATGGATGAAAACTGAATTAATATTTCCCATAAGAATTAATGGAAATACAATTAATCCGTTCCAGACAAAAATATTCACAAAAAAAAATCATTTTTTTAACAATTATGTAAGTATTACACATCTTTATTGAAGGCTAATGCTGGGTTCTGGAAGATAGGAAAGAGGAATGAGGGAGGAGTTAGTGTTTAGAAGGGGAATCCCCTTCCATTAGGACTTGAGGTATCAAGTTCTTTTCCGGGGTTACTTCCCTTCTTTGTCTTTTAATGCCACTAGGACCAGCTTGAGAGTCACTGGACTCCTGTCACACAATGAATCTTTCCATAGAGGTCTGTTTCTGCGATCTCTTTAAGATTTCCCTGAAGTGGGACAGGGTTTTGTCACTGAACATGTTGCAGATATGGCTTGTTTCAGCTTGGTCAGGGTGGTGTTTCTCTACAAAAGCTTGCACCCTAATCCACATTGCACATACCTCTTTAATCTCTGTCATTTATTGCTACAGTACATTCATTACTTACCTTAAAATATTTGTAGTCTTAATGTAGGGCAAGAGGTGAGTAGTATTTATTTGTAGGAAGTCAATGTAGGTAGTGGTAGATGTTGGTACAATACAAGTATGTATCGTCCCCCCGGTCTGCACTACACAGCTATATTATTACACTACACAGCAATATTATTATACTACACAGCCATATTATTACCATGTTCACTGAGTTTAATCGTTTCTAACAACTACCTTTAGATACCATCATAAACAAAGGGAGAAGTAATGAACAATTCATGCCGAGAATTGCAAACAAGCGCATATGAAGGGCAGTTACTGCACCAGTCGCCAGATTCACAGTTTTCTCTAACGCTGCATCACAGAAAACGTAATGCTTACTCTCCATCGACTCTCCACTCGATAACATATAAACATTGCATGTTTGTATGCTACATGATATGTAATGTGTTTCTTAAATAATTTTGAAGAAAATATCATAGATGGATTAATGAAAATGTCTATATTAACATAAAATAAGACATTTAATGTGCCAAAGAATGATCATTAAATATACATCATATATAATAAACATTGCATGTTTATATACTATGTAACGTATTTCTTATATAATTTTGAAGATATAATAGATGGATTAATGAAAATGTCTATATTAACGTAAAATAAGATATTTAATGTACCAGTGATTATTATTAAATATACATTGCATATAAATATTGCATGTTTTTATATACTACGTAAAGTGTTTCTTTGGGCCCATGGTTGCTTATTTTGCAGTTGCACTCAATTAATAACCACAAAAAACAATGGATTATAGCAAAATGTTTGGATGAATGAGCAGAAGCTTCCTCACTCACCCAGAGGCACAGCCAAACTGACCCTCAAGCGGCTGGGGCCGGTGGACAAACGCATCTCAAACAGCCGATAAGCGAATTAACAGCCGATAACTGGGCGCTGAAAAACTGGCCGATAACCAAGTTGGCCGATAACAGAACCGGCCAATAACTGGGAGTCCACTGTATATATGTACCCACTGACCTTATTTTTTACACTGGTCAAAAAATCTTAGTGGAGATCATGCATGCCACATCTGCATTTTAGGATTCTTCTAAAGCCTCTTTGGATATCACAATCTCACTGGTGGGAAATAGTGCCTGCACTCTAAAGGGTGGGCAGGGATTATGCAGTCTGAACAATCATTTGAAATGTGATGTGCCTGCACTACTGGCAAGACAGCTAGTGAATGAATGATAATGAGTGTAAATCTGTTTCCTTCTATGGGATATCTTTTCCTTGGTAAAAATTAACTAATGTGGTAAAAAGATCTAAATTACCTGAAGACTGGACGAGCATTGTAGAGCCTTTCTTTTAAGGCTAATACTGCAAAATCATGGCGCTGCTGAATGTCCCAAAAATGGCGTGACAACAGGTAACGAGGAAACCAGTATCTGAAAATTATAAACCTTAAATGAATTACTGTTCATGTACTGTACCATAAAAAATATCTGAAATGAACACAGACCTAAAAAGTTTCATGGATTTTGTCTGACCAGATAAATCATTAAAGACTTTATTATTCTAAAGATACATCATATTTGATGTGAGTACAGGCTTACAATTAATGCATGTACTGTAAAACCAGAAAAATCAATACAGTGGACCCCCGGTTAACGATTTTAATCCGTGCAAGAGGGCTCATCGTTATGCGAAATAATCGTTATGCGAATTAATTTTCCCCATAAGAAATAATGGAAATAAAATTAATCCGTGCAAGACGCCCAAAAGTATGAAAAAAAATTTTTTTTACCACATGAAATGTTAATTTTAATACACACAAACTGAAAAAGGCATGCACAATTACATGACACTTACTTTTATTGAAGATCTGGTGATGATTGATGGGATGGGAGGAGGGGAGAGCATTATCTTCTTACTGTTTAGAAGGGGAATCCCCTTCCATTAGGACTTGAGGTAGCAAGTCCTTTTCTGGGGTTACTTCCCTTCTTCTTTTAATGCCACTAGGACCAGCTTCAGAGTCACTGGACCTCTGTCGCACAACAAATCTGTCCATAGAGCTCTGTACCTCCCGTTTCTTCAAGACTTTCTTTAAAAAGGGCCATAACATTGTCATTGAAATAGTCACAAGCACGGCTTGCAACAGCTGTGTCAGGGTGATTTTCATCTATAAAGGTTTGCAGTTCAAACCACTCTGCACACATTTCCTTAATCTTTGAAGTAGGCACAATGGATTCCACAACTGGCATAGGCTTCTCAGGGTTAGCCCCAAACCCTTCAAAATCTTTCTTAATTTCCATACTAATTCTCACCCTTTTTACCACAGGGTTGGCACTAGAAGCTTTCTTGGGGCCCATGGTCACTTATTTTCCGAAAACACCACCGAAAACACTGTAATAATACGAAATATTCGAGTGTATGCTTGGATGTTACCGCGGAGGCTGGCTGGTAAACAATGGGACGGCCGGCACATGTGAGGGCACATTGGACGCGTCTCGGACGAAAATCGGTATGCGGGTTTTTAATCGGTATGCGGGGCAAAATTTTGCGATAAAAGTAATCGTTATGCGGAAAAATCGCTATGCGATGCCATCGTTATGCGGGGGTCCACTGTACAGTGGACCCTTGACCAACGATGGCATCGATTAACGATAAATCCGACTAGCGATACATTTTAACGCAAAAATTTTGCCTCGACTAGCGCTAAAAAACTCGACAACACTATTCGTTCCGTCTGAGACGCGTCCACTTCTGGCCAGTGTTTACAAGCCAGCCAGCCACCGCGGTCGCTTCCAAGCATACAATCGAAACATTTCATATTATCACAGTCTTTTTAGTGATTGCACCTGCAAAATAAGTCACCATGGGCCCCAAGAAAGCTTCTAGTGCCAACCCTACAGCAAAAAGGGTGAGAATTACTATGGATATGAAGAAAGAGATCATTGCTAAGTATGAAAGTGGAGTGCGTGTCTCCGAGCTGGCCAGGTTGTACACAAAACCCCAATCAACCATCGCTACTATTGTGGGCAAGAAAATGGCAATCAAGGAAGCTGTTCTTGCCAAAGGTGCAACTATGTTTTCGAAACTGAGATCGCAAGTACTCGAAGATGTTGAGAGACTGTTATTGGTGTGGATAAATGAAAAACAGATAGCAGGAGATAGCATCTCTCAAGCGATCATATGTGAAAAGGCTAGGAAGTTGCATGACGATTTAATTAAAAAAATGCCAGCAACTAGTGGTGATGTGAGTGAATTTAAGGCCAGCAAAGGTTGGTTTGAGAGATTTAAAGGGAAGGGAAGGGAAGTAACCCCAGAAAAGGACTTGCCACCTCAAGTCCTAATGGAAGGGGATTCCCCTTCTAAACACTAAGACCATCAACACTCTCCCCTCCTCCCATCCCATCAATCATCACCAGATCTTCAATAAAGGTAAGTGTCATGTAACTGTGCATGTCTTCTTCAGTTTGTGTGTATTAAAATTAATATTTCATGTGGTAAAAACAAGTTTTTTTTCATACTTTGGGGTGTCCTACACGGATTAATTTGATTTCCATTATTTCTTATGGGGAAAATTAACTTGACTAATGATAATTTTGACTAACGACGAGCTCTCTGGAACGGATTAATAGCGTTAGTCGAGGGTCCACTGTAATTATGATCAGTTGTTTTTACAGAACTAAATTACAACTAGACCACAAAGTAACATCATCATTGTAGGAACAATTCGTAACTACGTAACCCTAAAATTAGAAATGAAATTCAATAACATTTTTGCATGTTATGGACTATCATGTGTGTACATGCATGCATGTGGGGCAGGGGCAATTTTGCATAACCTGAAAATATGATCATGTTTAAAATCAGATTAATTAAAAAGGTTTTACAAATGGTTTGAAAATTGATATCATTGTATATGTAACTTTAAGCTACAAGAGGTTTTATAAATGACTGGAATGAAATAGAGTAGACCGTTATATTACACGGTAGTTACATTCCTGAAAACGCTGTGTAAGGTAAATCCATGTTAGATAAACTGAAGAACTTACAGGAAATATAGGTTTATATTCCTGGGAGCCACAAAAAAGCCAAACAACTATTTTTGTAGACCTCCAGATCTTACAAAAATAAAAGTAAATATGTAATTATTGTTCACCGTTCACTGTCAAGAACTGCAAGAAGCCCCTGTCACATGCCTTCAGCATTCTATGGAGCAAGGACACAAAGGCTGTCCCACACTCACTAAAAACCACTCATAGCCCCACTCTACAAAGGTAGCAGTAAAGCAATTATGAAGAACTACAGATCGAAATCACTAACATCCCATATCATAAAAATTTTTGAAACAGTTTATTTATTTATTTATTTATTTAATAATTTGAACATACAGAGGTACAAAAAAATGCAGGTAAGAGCAGCATGCCAAAGCCACTTGTATGCATAGCATTACGGGCTGGCTTAAAATTAATTTAAGATTAACTAAGCAATGATGTAATCTGTGATAAAACATTATTGTAAACAGATAACAATAAAGCACAAATGAGTATTACAAAGACAGGTCATATGGTTGCATGCATTGCTGTACATTCAGTAGAATGGAGTATTCTGTTAGGTAGTGCATTTAAAAAATAACAAAGTTAGATTGGGTCTTAGGTCTAAGAAGCAAGATCGCCAACCACCTAGATACCCATCAATTACACAACCCAGGGCAACACAGGTTTCAATCAGGTCACTCCTGCCTATCCAAGCTACTGGACCACTATGACAAGGTTCTGGATGATATAAAGGATAAACAAAATGCAGATGCAGTATACACAGACTTTGTGAAAGCCTTCGACAAGTGCGACCACAGTGTAATAGCACACAAAATGCATGATAAAGGAATAACAGGGAAAGTTGGTAGATGGATCTATAACTTCCTAACAAACAGAACAAAGAATAATAGTAAACAGAGTAGAGTCTGAGGTGGCTACGGTGAAAAGCTCTGTTCCACAAGGCACAATACTCACTCCCATCCTATTCTTCATCCTCATATTTGACACAGACAGAGACTGCTGATGGATATGTGGGGCAGCGGGCCTCCAGCAGCAACAGCCTGGTTGACCAGGCGAGCATCAGACGAGTATGGCCCATGGCTGGGCTCAGAGAGTAGATATGCTCTCGAAATTCTTTGAAGGCATATATCAAAGGTATACTGGCATTAAAAAACCAAGGAGGGAGGTAACCCCACCAAAGGACTTGGTACCAGTTTGAGAGTCACTGGACCCCTGTCGCACAAAATAGCTGTCCAGAGAGCTCTGTCTCTCATGTGCCCTTAGGATTTCCCTAAAATGGAACACAAGAGTGTCATTGCACTCCACTCTCGTATTTTTCAATGATCTCTTTCTTCATTTCCATCATAATTCTCACCCTTTTTAACACAGGCTTGGCACTAGAAGCTTTCTTGGGACCCATCGTGGCTTATTTAACAGTTACAAGCACTAGAAATAGTGGAATAATCCAAAATATATGGGAGGCACACGTGGAAACCGACCACAACAGCTTGTAAACAATGGCACACTGACTCTTGGAGTGGCTGGGCCCGCTCAGGCCGCACTCCAGGCACATCGACACGCTCCGGACAAATGTCATTGGTTAAGTTTTTGCCACTGGTTAAGGCATTTTTTTCTACGGCAAAAAACATCATTAGACAAAACTGCCATTACTTAATGCCGCCGTTAGTTGAGAGTCAACTGTATCTACGACATCTGCTACAAAAATGATAAGACAGATAAAGAGAACCTTCAAAACTAGGGATGCCAAGCCCATGATGATTCTCTTCAAATTGTTTGTTCTCTGTAGGCTGGAACACTGCTGGACACTAACTGCCCTTTTCAAGGCAGGTGAAATTGCTGACCTGGAGAGTGTGCATAAAACTTTCACGGCACACATGAGTATGATAAAGCACCTAAATTACTGAGAGTGGTTGAAGTCCCTTGATTTGTATTCCTTGGAATGCAGGCGAGAAAAATACATGATTATATACACTTGGAAAATCCTAGACAGATTGGTACCAAACTTAAATACGAAAATCACTCCCTGTGAAAGCAAAAGACTCGGCAGGAGATGCAACATTCCCCCAGTGAAAAGCAGGGGCACCACAAATACACTGAGAGACAACACAGTAGGTGTCAGGGGCCCAAGACTGCTCAACTGCCTCTCAGCATACATAACGGGGATTACCAATAGACACCTGGCTGTCTTCAAGAAAGCACTGAACAGGAACCTAAAGTCAGTACGTGACCTGACAGGCTGTGGTTCATACATCAGTTTGCATGCGGCAAGCAGTAACAGCCTGGTTGATCAGATCCTGATTCACCAGGAGGTTTGGTCTCAGACTGGGCTGCAGGGGCATTGACCCCCAAAACCCTCTTCAAGTATACTCCAGGCATGTATT